AGAATGATCCATTTCTGAAGAACCTAGTTACTGGCGACGAAAAGTGGATAGTGGCAAGAGATCATGGGTGAAGAAAGATCAACCAGCCCAAACAGTATCAAAAGCAGCAGAGATTCACCAAAAAAAGATTATGCTGTCAGTCTGGTGGGGGGATCACAAAGGAATTTTGTATTTTGAACTCATGCCGCAGAACCAAACGATAAATTCAAATGTGTATGTTGAACAACTCGAAGGATGCATCTGAAGGATGCAATTGAAGATAAGCGGCCGCCGGCATTATCAAATCGGCGGAAGGGTGTTGTTTTCCATCATGATAACGCAAGGCCCCACACATCTGTGGTTACTCGGCAAAAATTATTGCAACTGGGTTGGGATGTTTTGTCACCACCCACCATATAGCCCTGACCTTGCGCCTTCGGAGGATTACCATTTGTTTCGTTCCATGCAAAACTCTTTAAATGGTAAAATTTGTAACAACGCGGATGATGTCGGATCACACCTAATTCAGTTTTTTAATAGCAAAGACCAGACATTTTAGGAACGGGGAATTTTTACTCTGCCAGAACGATGGAAAAAGGTCATCGACAAGGACGGCCAATATCTAATTGAATAAAGTTATATTTTTAAACAAAAATTCCGAATTTGCCTTCTTATTTGAAATCGACAATGACTTAGTTGCCAACCTAATACACTTACTTCACAATTGAACAAATCATATCCTTTTGAATCATTTGGTTGTGGTCGAATACAAGTTAATCGATTGTAAAAATCGACACGAAAAGCAACAGGAGGTGTGGTATCAGTTGACAAATTTCAATTCGACTATTCAACTTATATGCTAGTTGAAATAAGTGACGATGGATATTAAAGAAAGTGGAATGTAGTGATGGAATCACTCAAAAATACGAGACAATTTGAAGCATAGGCGAATTTTATGCATGAGATTCAAATGTGTCGGACCTACCAATAGTAAAGACAGCTGAAGTAACAGTAGAATTCCATCATGAATTCAGAATTCCTAATCCAACATTTAGGTACTAGTATGCTGATGCAAAGTTTGATGAAGGGCAATTCAGAACAATACTGAGACATTCGACAATAGGTCTACATACTTACAAACACCACCACAACAACCACCACCACCGGAGAGCACAATGAATATTCTACAAATACCTTTCAAAAGATTTTAGACGAAATTACTAAAATGGTATTCCCACATGGGATTGTCGTTGTGGAGACAGAGTTGGAAGTATACTTCCATGCAGCACTTGAATATGTATATGACTGCTAAAATAAAGTGTATATACAAACGCGAAAGTCAAATAAAAGCATTTTCTCTCAAGGACAAAATGTTTAGGAATGAATATTTTTTGATGCACATATTTAAAACAAAGGCATTCATTAAATGCTTGCTATTCTTGAGAACGGTCGTATTGTAGAAGAGGTAGATAAACCATACAGAGGAAGTTGAGCTTATGCAATATGAGCGTAGCGTTCTTACAGTTAAAGCTATCTTATCGGCGTGGTTTGGTGGGTTGAGGAAATTAGTGTGCAATTGCTCCTAATGACATTCCCGGAGAGTCCAGCGTTCGAGGCGACTTTCAACTGACTTTCGAGCCTAGGCTTGAGTGAATACGTTTATTTTAGAATGAATACGTTGAGAAGCTAAGGATTCTTCGTCAAGAGTATACGAATTCCGCCATCAAACCAGTTGTGATTGGGGCATCAGTGAGCCTTTATCTATCAGGTGGCAACTATCGTTTAGCCAGAGCTAACGGAGCTCTTAGCCGGCATGTCAAAGATATTACAACTATTAATCAGGCCCGTTCGTCATGTGTGAGTGAAGAAGATGCCGAGAAGAGTGGAAATAGTCATCTTGATTCGGCACAAGCACAACCACTTAAGTTCCCTCCTGTTACTGCCTTTCCTCCCACGAATGGTGGCCATGTTCCATCACCATTCACCAACGATCTCTGTTTTCCTCCACCTGATTTCATTAATAAATCCCTTCCTCCACCTCCACTTGGCTCTACTTTCCAGCCAAAATAGCTTCCTGGTTTCCCCAGTCCAGGCAATGGTCTGACGCCTCTCCTCATTCCATGAGTCATTTGTGGTGGACCAGGAGCAAGAAATCTATCTCATACTTCTCCCAATACCATGTTGTAAGTTTGCTTGCATTCACTCTGACTATTTTGTCTGATTTGTGATGTAATTGTTTTTTTTTCTACTTTAATGTGATTCTAGTCCAGAGGAAGATTTCGGGAATCATTGCTCGAGTCGCCAAAGTCGCTCTCATAGCAGGGATTATCATCATGGCTGTCAGAGGAGACGGTATGTTTTTCGTTACTATTGTGTCCTTTCTCTAATCTATTTACCTATTTAATCGTGGAAGTTGATATTGGCAAGAGACTGTATCAAATGGGCTGGAAATAGCTGGCTCGCTTTTGATGTCTCCACTAGTGAGTGTTAATATCGGCAGCTTGAAACGGGGTGTCATGTAATTGTTATCCCTCTTTTCGATTTCCTTTAGTGCCTTTCTATTATGTCTCAATTGAGAAGAACAATTGATTTTGAGATATTTTCTGTCCATGTAAAACGCATTTGCTATTCGGGTTCTACCAGAAAAAAACCGTGTGTGGTGCGCTCTTCAAAAGTACTTTCGAAACATTGGGAACTCCATTTTGGTAGGTTAGATAGCATGGGATTTGGTATTTAGTTTAGAATGAGCTACTTAGCTTGAAGTCAAAAGCATTTGTCGATTATGCTCGATCTTAAAGGGGGAAAGGTTGGTATTACTGTGTGGGATTGTGGTGGTTAAGTCGTATTCTATTGAAGTAGAAATTTATTTATTTATATCAAATGGCAGGCGTTTTGATAGTTATCATTAGCCCTGGAGCTGACTTCGGGGCTTCATGAAGAGGAGAAGAGACATCAAAATGACAAAAAGTCGAGATCGGAGACAGAATAATGATTCACAGAGGTAAAAGAGACAGACAGACAGACACAAAGGCATAAAAAAGGTAAGATGAGTGCTGTGGAAGCGGTCGAATATGAAAAATAGTCGGGCCATAGAAATATGAAGTCAGAAGTCAACTGCCGATCAATAGAGGGTAGTTTGAAGTGAGAAGTCAACTGCCAGTTAATATAACGAATATGACATAGAGAAGTCAACTGCCAGTTAATAGATCATGGTAATTGAAGTCAGAAGTCAACTGCCGATTAATAGACTTGGGGTCATGATAGTTTGAACTCAGAAGTCAACTGCCAGTTAATAGACTTACTCATGGTAGTTTGAAGTCAACTGCCAGGTAATAGACTTTAGTTTGAAGTGAGAAGTCAACTGCCGATTGATAGACTTTTATTTGAAGTCAGAAGTCAACTGCCAGTTAATAGACCTTTTCAGTCAGAAGTCAACTGCCGGTTTATAGACTTTTTTGCCGTTTGAGTAGTCAGAAGTCAACTGCCGATCAATAGATTTTTTGCCGTATAAGTATACGTTGCCCAGGGTGCACCACGTGGAGGTGAGTCTATTGAGCACCCCATTGAATTAGAAATGACTTCCACATGGTTGATAGAGGTGGTGATTACTTGTCGGGCTGAGTGAGCGAAATTTTCCTAATAATATTTTGACTAAGTCTAGGTAATAGAGGTTATTAAGGTCCTCTTCTCCGAGATGATTTCTAGTAGAAGCTTCTTCTTCCACAGGCCTGATAATGGTGGAAGTGGTTTTGTCCGACTTCTGGTTTAGTCTCGCCAGAATCTATCTTTGATTGTTGTCTGTAGTAGGATTTTTCTGTAATTTTCATCTCTAGCCCAATTTGTTCAGTAAATATGTAAGAAATAACCTAATTGCTATTTAGTGTAAATGTAGTTTTTATGTCCATAGGGTTGGAGTTAAAAACCTAATTTTACATTTATGAACAGATATGAAGAAGATTCTGGTCGAGACTACAGTCGTCACAGTGGTCGTTTTTCTCGACGACGTGGATCAAGAGAAAGGCATCACGAGCGTTCTCGTGATCGTAGTCCGATCTCAGCCATTCCTTCCAGGCAATCTTCGAATGCCCCAGAATCATCCTCACGTTCAAGACGAAAGGCAGCAACTAGAGATTCAAAAGGACGTGGAGGAGGAGGAGGAGGTGGAAAGAAGTCCTATCGAAGCGGTATTCGCAGTAGTCGTCATCGTCGATCACCAGTACCACGTAGGAATCGATCACATTCTACATCTCGAAGATCTGCTCTTCCGGAAGTTTAGATTCATTCAACTTTGACGACACCTGCTAATCTACAGGAAGCGGTTTCGACTGCAGCCGCTGATATTAGTGTGAAACAGCGTCGATCTTTCCTCGGTGTCATCTAGACGTTTTCACTCATCCAACACTTCGTATGTATTCTGCAACAACCTACACGAATTAGAACGTTGTCACGGTTCTCTTCAGGGCCATCCCACTTCAGATTGTTTCTTCCATTTCCATCCATTCACCACTTGGCACTACTCTGCACTGTGTTTCAGTGCACGCTACTGCCACTTTTGATGGCGAT